TTTTACATAGGAATATATAGGAAAAATCTTCAAAAATCTTCTTCTCAAGGACAGCAAAGCTATGATTGGTCATATTTATATGGAAGCATTCTGAGGTGGTGTAGATACAAGTTTGTTCAAATCATGACCCCCAGGGGTAGGGTGGGGCCACAATGGACGATCAATGTTTAACATAGGTGTACATAGGAAAAATCTTCAAAAATCTTCTTCTCAAGAACAGCAAAGCTGTGATTGGTCATATTTATGTGGAAGCATCCTGAGGTGGTGTAGATTCAAGTTTGTACAAATCATGACCCCCGGGGGTAGGGTGGGGCCACAATGGACAATCAAAGTTTTACATAGGAATATATAGGAAAAATCTTCAAAAATCTTCTTCTCAAGAACAGCAAAGCTATGATTGGTCATATTTATGTGGAAGCATCCTGAGGTGGTGTAGATTCAAGTTGTTCAAATCATGACCCCCAGGGGTAGGGTGGGGCCAAAATGGACGATCAATGTTTAACATAGGTGTACATAGGAAAAATCTTCAAAAATCTTCTTCTCAAGAACAGCAAAGCTATGATTGGTCATATTTATGTGGAAGCATCCTGAGGTGGTGTAGATTCAAGTTTGTTCAAATTATGACCCCCGGGGGTAGGGTGGGGCCACAATGGACAATCAAAGTTTTACATAGGAATATATAGGAAAAATCTTCAAAAATCTTCTTCTCAAGAACAGCAAAGCTATGATTGGTTATATTTATGTGGAAGCATCCTGAGGTGGTGTAGATTCAAGTTTGTTCAAATCATGACGTGTAGGGTGGGGCCACAATGAACGATCAAAGTTTTACATAGGAATATATAGGAAAAATCTCAAGAACAGCAAAGCCATGGTTTGTCATATTTATACGGAAGCATCCTCAGGTAGTGTAGATTCAAGTTTGTTCAAATCATGACCCCCCCCCCCCACTCCCTTTTTAGGGGTAGGTTGGGACCACTTATGCATTTAAGCTTTTCAATACTAAACTGATTTTTCCTTTTTTCCTAGCCACAGTGCTCAGGTGAGCGATGTGGCCCTTGGGCCTCTTGTTTTTTTTTGTTTTTTTTTTTTAAATATAAGTTCAGACTACCTAAATTAAAAAGATCTTTCTATTTGTTTTATTACTTTATATAAAAAAGGACTTTCCTGTAAATTACACAATTTAAATCAATCAGGTTTCAAAGATATTAGAAATTTAAAACAAAAACCGATTTATTTACCGATTCAGATTTTAAATAACAGACACAGTTTAATTTTTTTAATCAGTCGAACTATGGAAACATGAGGTTATTCAAGTTCAAAATCGGTGAAAAATTTAATTTCAACGTAAATAACATATATCATGTTTAGCTACACCCAATCTCGTATTTTTATTTTTTAGCTCAGATACGCCTTATATAGCTTTAACAATTATTCCGAAAGAAGATGGATAAAAACTTAGCGTTCCTTTTGACTTTAGTTCTTAGCCGCCTACTACGCAGCAAAGAAGTTTTAAAGAGGCTGGGGGTTGTGGCCATTTTTAGACTATATTGATCTCCTTTAGAAGAAGAGCTCCATATGAAGATATAGAAAATGATCAAATTTTAAAACTAAAATTTTTGAAATTTTTCTTTGCCAAATGATAGTTGACAGCTTAAGATATCATATCTAAAAAATTAAGTTAAATCTGGTGGTTAATTTGTTGAACCCCCCCCCCCCCCAGCCTCCTTAAAGCGCCAGTTTAAATTCATCTTAACCTGAATTAATTCCCAAGACTTTCCTTATTTTCCTTAATCGTATCCTCTGAAGTGACTTTGCCATCGAGCCACTGGGATTTGATTGATTATCGAGCCACTGGGAATATCAAGGGAAAAATTGAGACACTCCTGCATCATGCCCTTCTGCTGCCCATGCAGATTCATGTTCTAACGCTATATTATGTATAATATAAGTACATGTACAACGCTCCTGTGAAAAAATCATGCATAAAGGTAATAAAATTGAAACGTTACCATTTAAGATTAAGTATTAACACACCGAAAAGAACCCCAATCTACCAACATCGATTTTATAGGCTGTTCCATGAGACACACATTTAAAATTTATAATTTTGGCTTTATTTCAAGAATACGAGGAGTGATTTTTTTTTTTACCTTTTCTCGTTGACAAAAAACGCAAATTAGAATTGCATAAAGAAAATGATAACAGTTGCTTTGCTTATTAATTGTTAAAATCTGGGCCAGGTAAAGAAATTAAACTGTATCTTTTCATAATACTTCTCTACAGGGGTAAATTTAAAAAAAAAAAGAATATAGTGCACACATCCGAGAAAATACTCATAATGATTCTTTATGATCTTTATTCCAATGCCTATATATACGGTATTAATTATCGATTGACTAAAGTGCACATAAAAGTGAATCTTTGCCATTGTATATATGCATTTAATGTGAGTTGTTATTTAAATGTTTTTACTGTTTTCTTTCGTCAGTAAATCTTGGATCCACGCCTTGGTTTATACATTCAATATGCCATGTTTTGTGTATTTTGATCCCCGCGCGCTGACCATCGTTTTACGCAATGGCCTAGATACAATGTTTATGTATATAAACCGTTAAAGAAGACCCACCACCACCCAAGTGATCCTACCTCTATTACTCTTAATGAACACTGGTGTGGTTTTACTTTAACTTTAAGATGGACCATTTTGTTTAATAATAATAAGACAGACTTTGGTCAATTTTGTTTACATCTCTATATTTAGAAATCGTGTCATCGTCAGTCCCTTTGCCAGACCACCAGCTTATCAATGGCAGCTCACACTAGGACTTTACTTCCGGTGATTCAAACTTAATGTGTCATCTCCCGAGGGAGATGACAATTACAGGGAGGAGCCATAACTTTGACCATAGTTCAATTATGACTGCACTTTTTTAAAAGAACAAACTGGTTAACAAGCTTTCATTGAATAAACTGCATGAATGATGTAGTGCACATTAATTAAAAATAATCATATTTTGATTCATGCATTACCTTGAATCTTTCAGGTTTAAGTCCCAAATATAAATCTATCAGAGATATTTACTATTACAGTTCTTACTCTGTATTTGTCCCTGATTTGTATGCCAAAATACGGATTTACCTCTGGGAATTACGCTTTCCAGTTATACTAATATTTTTTTTATTTTCTGTGGCTTAAGTGCTTTACAATGATAAGAAACGCCTCAAAGATCCTGATGATCAGTCTCCAGTACAGAGTCAGATATAAAAAGTGTGTAATTTTCAATAGAGACAGAAAATAACATTGCAATCAATCACCATTTTTATATAAAGTATCAAATATACATAGCAAAATTTATCCCTGGTATTGCAAACATAAGATTACTGACAGGAAGCTCAAATTACTGGCCAACACCATTAACATTCCTGAATGCATTAGATCTGATATCTATGGCAGAACACAGGGAGAAAAGATTGAAGTCTTTAAAAACGGGGTCTCTTGTCAAGAATGAAGATTTTTTTTTCATTGCCAAGATAAAACTTTTCTAAATTTTGTAGGTTGTCCACGTTTCAGGAGCCAATGTTCTTAAAGACAAACTGCCCAACTGTCAGAGAGTGGACATCATTCCACGCTGCGGCCATGCAATCAATCTGGACAGACCAGGATCTAAAACAAAAGCTCTGCTCAGCTTCAGGGGAGAGTACTCTAAGAAAAACAAATAAACCATGTTCTTTGCTGCCTGTGATAACATTGCCATGTAATAAAAAATGGTGGACATCTCTCAGGTGTTTCAATCTAGTCAGGGGGTTCAATTCAATAATGATAATTTTTTAATTTTGTTTTACAGAATTTTATTCATCAAAACTGTACATTGTATTTCGTCTTGATCTCATTTTAATTTCAAAAGTTTATAGTGTACTATTAAACAGGTTAATTTTTTTTAGAATAGGTCCATTTTAAAATAAATGTAAGCTCTCTCCCAAACAACCAAATTTGCATGGATAATACTAGGAATGCAAAATACAAGTGAATCTTCAGATACTGCATGTGACATATATATAGTTTTAGATGAGTAGTCAGTTAAAATTTTTAATAGCAGGTCATTTTATGTATTTTAGTAGTAGAAGCCTGAGTTTTATTGTATGAACTTTGTATTTAAAGATTTTACTTCTGCAGTTTTATTTTTGAGAATTTATTTTTCAGTCACACAGCTAAATACTGAGTGAAATTTGTTCCTGCATTATATTGAACATGCATTTGAAATGAGACTACTTTGCTTATAAGTTGCATGTATTATGATGAGCTTAGTCATCTCTAGTTACCGAGTACCGTATATACTCGCCTTTAAGTCAGTCCGCCTATAAGTCGGTTGTAATTTTCGAGGTTATTTTGGAAGGATTTGCCATTGACCCGCATATACGTCGGTAAAATTTTTTGCCAGAATCGGCTGACAATTTCAAATCAATGCTCTGATCTTTTAACCTGGTTTTAAGTAATATTATAAGAAATTACACCAATATTTAATTTGAAATCATAAAAGAAAATAAGTGATGCACACCTAAGATCAAATAGAATTAATGAAATACGTAAATACATGTACTTTATGCATATTCTTAGAATACAAAAATGATATTACATATCCAGACTTTATTCAAAGATAATCATCGAACATGTTTGTAAAATACTACATGTTGCCGTCCAAAAAGAATGCCAATTTTTTATGACTTGTCTATAAGTCGGACAAAGAGTTTTGGACCAAAATTTAACTCCCAAAAAAAACGACTTATAGGCGAGTATATACGGTACATATGTTTATCAAATTTCTACAAATGAAAAATATTTTTTATCATAGATGAGTGAAACATTCTGAAGCATACCATAATCTTTCATTTTAACTAAGCTGTGATTTTGTATTTAAATTTTATATGTGTGAAACTTGCTCAAGTATATTTGTGAAATGTTTGTGTTGCACAATCAGATAATGTTTAAAACTTTTATATACGTGAAATTTTATTAATTTTTTTTTTAAATTTCAATTCTGATACATTGTCTTTCTACAACATGACTGAGCTTGAAATAAATGTATTCCCAAAATACTTTGGATTTTCTGTACAACTGAAGGTAGAAGTGCCTTTATTCATTAATCCCTCTTGGCTTAACCATTCTCCTTTGGCATTTCCTTGTGAGCAGCTATAAATATTGTGAAAAGGGGTCATGACTAACCCAATCCTGAATCCACGCTACATAGGGATTCTGAAGTCATGAATTCAAATCCCACTGTGAGACATGGAGACCATTCCTTCAGATGAGACAGTATAAGAGCTGGCACAAAAAAGATCCCTGGCTCACTCTCAAAGGAGTAAGTGCCAAGTACAAGGGGTGATCAAAAAGTTCGCGAAATAAATGAATTACTTCCATTAAAGAAATAAAATTATGTTTCAGTGTGTATTATTTTTTAAAGTAATCCCCTCCAGTTTTATTGCACGTCTGCCACCGTTCTGCCCATGCGCGAAACACTTGGTCCACGCGGTCACGTGACATGCCCCTGTTCACAGCAGCTAAAAGATTTTTCTGAGTCTTATATTTCTAACCATGCAGATTATTTTTTTATAACAATAATAGTCCATTTGTCACAAATCGCTAAATCTCGGAAATAGGGTTGTTGGATAAGGATATATATTTTATCAGAATGAGCATGTAGACCATCACAACCCAACTCCTCCTTAAATGCGTCTTTTTTTTTTAAAATGTGAATCAGGTATGGGCGCGTTCTCTTTATCATATCTGATATATTTAAAATCTGAAGTAAATGATATTTTAAGGATTTAATTAATATTTTATTGTTAAGATATTGAAATATTTTCAAACTGTAACTTGGCTATCTTTCATAACAAATTCCTCAACTAAGGACACATCTTTTTCCCGGCTTGCTTTCGCTGGGCAAAATAACGAACATCATTATTGAACATCTCCCTTCCTTCACCAAAGCAATCTTTCCAATTAATCATTGAACTTGCAAGTCCTTTGTCTTCATAAACCCTGTACAAATCATTATATGCCACTGCAAAGGAGTTTCCAAGATTTTTGCTAAACTTCACAGCCGTTCCTTGCACGAGTAAGACTGAGTCACCCATTTTTCGTCACAAGTCACCTACATATTGATGTCATTTTCACATCGTGACGTCACAAACAGAGCAAAACTTTAATAACATCTGCTATTTATAGAATATGTGTATGACTATATGTGTGCCAGATTTCATTCTGATCTGAATATTGTGGTTTTGTAAATAAAGAGATAGTTCGCGAACTTTTTGATCACCCCTCGTACAGTCAGCATTCCTCCATCAGCAAGTGTTGGCGTCTCAGTGTGAGAGAAAAATTTTTGAAGGGACGTTAAACAACAAACAAACAAACAAAACTAGATGCTGTCGTTAGACAGTAATACCCACACTTAAGTGTTTGCCTCTAAATGCACTCTTTCTCATAATTGGGTAACCAGGGAAGAAGTCAAATTTATTCTATAATTGTATCAAAATTGAACATGTATTTGTCAAATCGAGTATAAAATGCTCAGGTGAACATGTAACCCATGGGCCTCTTATGTAATTCATTTACCAGTCTGAAAATGGTGTAAATTCTGTTTAAAAGAAAATTTTGGAAAGAAGACTTTTGTTAAAAACAAAAAAAAAAAAAACTGTATGAAACACAAACACATGCTTCCCCCCTATTTGACACTCACAGCAAAGGTTAAATTTTCTCAAATGCAAGTCAAACTCCAAGGTCAAGAGATCAAAAATGTTGGTACCCAAAGAAAGGTCTTGTCACAGGAAATACACCTGTCAAATATGAAAGCCAAAGAACCAACTGTTCAGAAGTTATGGCCAAGGTTAAAGTTTCTCAAAAGTAGGTCAAACTCGAAGGTCAAGACAAAGGATCAAACTATGTGCTCTAGGGAAGGTCTTGTCACAAGAAAAACACATGTGAAATATGAAATCCCTAGCACCAACCATTCAAATTAGGGCCAAGGTTAATTTTTTTCAAAAGTAGGTCAAACTCAAAGGTCAAACGGTCAAAATTGTTGGTAACAAAGGGAAGGTATTGTCAAAAGGAATACACTTATGAAATATGAAAGCCCTTTTACTAAACGTTCAAAAATTATGGTCAAGGAATTGATTCTGAAAGTAGGTCAAACTCCAAGGTCAAAGGGTCAAAATTGTTGGTACCCAAGGGAAGGTCTTGTAACTGGAAATTTACATGTTTAATATAAAAGCACTAGCTACAACCATTCAAAATTTATGGCCAAGGTTAGAGTTCTGGGAACCAGAGGGTTTTTTTTGGTAGAAGAAACGTCATTTTTCGACCACCATTAGACACTTAGATTGAAAAATCCGAAACCATTGCATATTTATCATCTTTCAAAAGATAATTTAGCTATTGTGTAAAATGACAGAGGAGTTTTGGGAACCAGGTTTTTTTTGTAGAAGAAACGTCGTTTTACGACCTCATATGACCCCTAGGGTGAAAATGAAAATTCCTAAATCTAATTGCACATCTACACTACACCACAATTCATCTGTCAAAAGATGATCTGGCTATTGCTTAAAATGTAAGAAGAGTTCAGGAAACCAGGATTTGTTGTAGAAAAAATATCATTTTCGACCCCGATTTGACCCCTAGGGTGAAAATAAAAAATCCAAACCTTACTGCACATCTACAGTACACCAGCAATCATCTTCCAAAAGATGATTTGACTACTGCATAAAATGTAAGAGGAGTTATGGGAACCAGTTTTATGTAGAAAAACGTCATTTTCGACCCCCATTTGACTCCTAGGGTGAAAATGAAAATTCCGAAACCTAATTGCACATCTACAAGACACCAACTATCATCTTCCAAAAGATGACTGGATACTGAGTTAAATGTAAGAGGATTTCAACGAACCAGGTTATTGTAGAAAAAAAAACTTCCATTTTTTGACCCCCAGGATAAAATTAAAAATTCCAAAACCTTATTGCACATATACAGGACACCATCTATCATATATCAAAATATTAATTGGCTACTGCTTAAAATAAAAGAGGAGTTTGAGGGAGAAGAAAGTGTGACGGACGGACGGACCAGGGTAACAACAATATACCCGAACTTTTGCGGGTATAAACATAGGGATTGTGAATATAGATATGACTAATGTTACCTTACTGTTCTGGAAGACTTTTTAAAAGAATTTCTCCAATATACTGTACATGATTTATGCCAAATTGCCGATCTTGTTTTTTTGTTTTTGTTTTTTTGTTTTTTTGTTTTTTGTTTGGCTCAATCCCACACCTTAGGACCACATTTTGAATAAACTTGAATCTCAAATACCTGAGGATATTTCCATATTACAAATGATGGCACTACTGTCCTTGAGGAGATCTACAAAGCTTGTATATTATTAATTGATTAATTGTAAACTATCATCGACGGACCTAATTTTTTATATGATTTTTTATCCCCCCCCCCTATTTTTTCATGTAAAAGTTCGTATCTCGGGCATATTTTCCCTATTGTGTCCACATTTTTACCCTGTGGGCCATCATTTAAAAAAAAATGCTGCATATACATGTACCATCACTGAAAATGTTTGCATATCAGTATGAATAAGCATGGTCTTAATTGCTGTGCTTGAGAAGAATATTTTTAAGATTATATCCAAAAGTGATACTTTGGTTCACTACCTATTATGGTCCAACCTTGGATATAGGAGCCATATTTGAACGAATTTAAATTAATATGAAAACCTGAGATTAGTTGCATATTGATATGGCCAATCATAGCCCTAGCTGCTTTTCTTGAGAAGATTTGTAAAAAATAAAATCCTATTCTATTTTCCTATTTTATGTAAAGCATTGATCCCCTATATATTGTGGTCCCATCCATGTTGCTTTATTTGATAAAACCTCTTTTTTTTCTCTTTTATTAAAACAAATATCATGTTATATGAAACATGTTAGAAATTCTAAACATAAAAAAACATAAATAAACATATTCCAAGTTACAAAATATTCCTTGATCAATAGACAAATTATCATTACATCTACATTTCTTTGCAAGTTTAAGAACATCATTTTGTAATCTAAGATCATACTTATTTTATGCATCAAGTTTTCTTCTGATATTAACTCCTCATCAAATCTCCATTTCATTTTATATTTGTAAATTGTAAAGCATAAAAAGATATCAAATTATTCAATATAATTATATGAGCATTAAGTTCATAATAATAATAAAAAAACAAACAAAAAAAAAAAAAAAAAAAACAAAAAAAAAAAAAAACAAAAAAAAAAAAAACAGAACTATATTTTTCCATGTTATTGTGATATGAAGAAAATTTCCTACTTTTTGTCATTTTTTAAAAACGATTTCACATTCAAATAACAAATGCTACGTATCTTTGATTAATTTACATGTTGTTTAAAGTGCAGTATAGTAATTTATAATTAAATTCTGCAATAAATTGCTTTTCAAAGAGCGTATGGACCCTTGTAAATTGTTTTTTAAACAGAATATAATCATTAAATGTAATTTTTACGTTATACATTTGAAAAGTCAATAAATTTTGTATACTCCTCCATTGCTTGTTTAAGCATTACATATTCACATACAATTTTCTTTTTCTTTTCATTACATTCATAAAATATGAATTATCACATATGTCTCCAATCTTGTCAAAATATCTTTAACATAAAGAATACCAAATTTTATCCAATTTTCAAGACAAATAGTATTTTCTTTACATTTAAAAAATGAATAACACCATATGAATTCTGAAAAAATTCTTTTCTTTTTAAAGTACAACATTGCTTTTCTTTTTTACATAAATTAAAAGCAGAGAAGACTTCACAATAAAGATATGGTAAATGTAGTATTTTACAAATTTCAGTGACTGCTGTTTTTATTATATATATATATATATATATATATATATATATATATATATATATATATATATATATATATATA